TGATGATAATAAAGTTTTAATGTGGGGTAGAAATGATCATGGACAATTAGGAAAAGTAAATGCAGAAATAAATGATCAAAATGAAAATAAAGAAATTAAAGAAAATGAAAGTGGCTATATTCATAATCCCGTTCCATTATATTATCTTCCACAATATGTTTTATTTCCTAAATCTTCGAAAATTCAAAGTTGTGCTTGCGGATCAGAACATTCTTTGGTTATATCGACATCCAATGAGTGTTTTTCTTGGGGATGGAATGAACATGGAAATTGTGGCATAGGTAATAATATTGATCAATGGACGCCGGTAAAAATTAATTTATCAAATAAGCATATAATTGTTAAAAAAATTGCTACCGGTTGTGGAAGTTCTTGGATTTGGATAAATAATTTAATAGATTAAACATTAAAGTTATATAAATTTTAAAGATTGTATTTTTATTCTTTATAAAAATTTTGTTTTAATGTATTGTTTTATTGCTTTATTAACACACGTACGTACGTACCTGGTAATAGTGTAGAAGTGTGGACATATAAATTATTGCTATATAATCACATTATATAAAATTTAAAATTTAGTTGATACTGTTTAATTGCATACTGTCTAATCACATATACTCTCTAAATGCATAAAAATTTTGGTTTATAATTATTAACACAAGAATGGTTTTTATTACTTAAATATATATATTGTCTATATGCATAAAAAAGTCTCTAACGGATGGTATGCAATTAGACAGTATCGAAGTAAATTATATATATATTCTAAAAAAATTTCTTACATATGATTGCAGATAGTCACAATACATAAAAATTAAAATTTTATTAAGAAATCTATTTTTTTTGTATTAAGTAGAGTTGTTCAGGAGAACAAAATACATCTATCCTGAAAGTTTCATTCAAATAAGATACCTTTTTATAATACACTCTTCATTTTACGCTTCCGTAAATTTTTTCGCAGAAGCGTAAAATGAAGAAACGTTGTTCATCAAACTAATAAAACCAAACATTATTTAGGGTCTCGCGCTGTGAATTAGTAAATCTGCTACATAAACCACATGAGGGTAGGTTTATTAATGGGTTGGATTGGCCCAATCTTCAACCCACTCCACTAAATTAGACTTACTCCTGTACTCCAATGTTTTGCTCCGAGTTGTTCCATAGTGCTCCAGGTTGCTCCAGGTCACTTCATATTTAAAGAATTACCTAATTTTAAACCCACTGCAACTTGGGTTAGGTTTTACTCTGGAGTGCTCCGGAGTAAGCTACTCCATTAACAACCCTACATGAGGGTGAAATTCACTTTTGCATAATAAAAAATATAGCTAAATGCAGATTTCACCCTAACGTGATCTATGTAGCAGATTTTACTAATTTACAATGCGAGTTTCACCAGTCCTAAAATATTTATGAAAATCTGAAATTACTGCAGATAACAACTTTCGGTACAGTTTTCTTTCGAACTAGTATAATGATTACTAATTTAACTTTTTAAAAGATAAAGAACTTCATGTAATTTAATGTAATAGAGAGATTTTTTCGATTTATTCCATTTTACAATTAGTAAAATCTTTTAACTAAATTCGACGAAAAAACGCTATTAAAATTTGTAAAATCAAGGTTATTGTTGAAAAGAGCATAATAAAAGCTAGCGATTAAAAAAAAAATATGGTATAAAAAATTTGAATTTTTCGTTTAAAAAGTGTACCATTAGTTGTATTAAAAGATATGATTAGTAAATTTTCTGAAAATTCTGAAATTATTAAAAAACCTATAAAAAATCCTAATACATATAACCCTAACCAGTGTTGGAAAAATGACAAATATGACAAATAAATAACACATAAATTTTATAAAAACATAATAAAATCATATCAATAATATTTTTTATGACATTTAACTCAATAATTTTGTCAAATAGCCATTATTGACCCTAACTATGGTTTGATTTTACCGATTTGACAGTATGCAATTAAACAGTATCAACTAAATTTTAAATTTTATATAATGTGA